AGTTCACAGCGATATACTGCTGTTAGTTATCTATTCACTCCTTATTTTATTGATTTTGTATTTAAATTGTATCATAGATCAAATTTATTGGTTCAGTGTATGTTCACTTGTGTTAATATGTCTTTTGATTGAATTAAGCGATTTGAATTGATATTTTATAGTGTGTCTTTCTATGTTGTAATGTTACACTATTGTTTCAGATAAAGGTGAAGGTTGATACCTATTACACCGTTTAAACCCGCTGCAATTGTTTGCACCTGTCCTAAGTCAGGAATATGAAGTTTAGTAGTTGTCGTTTGTTGATGTGGTTCGTAAGTGTTTCTCGTTTCTCGTTTTTTATATATATCATACCGTTGGTTGTCCCGTTTGAATGGTTTTACACTATTCATTTTTGGGGCCCTTTATAGCTTGCTGTTCGGTGTGAGCCAAGGCTCCGTGTTGAGGACCTTACTTTGACCTATAATGGTTTACTTTTATGAATTGTGACTAGGATGGAGAGTTGTCTCATTGGCACTCATACCACATCTTCTTATATCCATATAAAACTAAGCACGTTTCCCTCCAAAAATTGGGGTTGATATCAGGTGCTCCGCAAGAGTTAGAATGTTCTGCTCTGCATGTGTCACCTGTCGTGTTGCTCATGTAGTACAAACTCGGCGATAAATTTGATTCGGTAGGTCAAATACGGGGAAAAGGAGTACTGCATGTTGGTTAGACTGAAATTAGTAGACAGATATGATCTGTCGGTATACAAACTTAGCAGCGAAGTCGACAGTTTTACGGTAACTATCACGAACTAGTTGACTGATACGATATATAATTGTCTCAACTCTTGAAATGTGTTAGATGTCTTAGATCGCAAAGATTAACAGAAAAAAATCGTCCAAGTGAAATATTGTATCCTATTCTCGATTGTAACATTTTGATTGTGTTAAATTTGGAAGGTTGATGTTGTTGTTTGTAGAGTGGAATAGGCCTACCCTGTCAGCTCAACCAGTCATGCTGCTTTTGAAGTTCATGCCACTCCCTCAGATAATTTCTTCTATCCTTTTTTTTTAATTGCTTAATACTATTCTATTGCCTTCAATAGTCGTGAAATTAGTTAAATTTACTTATTGTGTTGTATTCTCGTTCGTTGTATTCTAACTGAGTTTATGTATGACTAGACAGAGAACATCTACTTGGAGATGTCTGGTAAGTATTTATATAATGATTATTAAGTCGAAGGCTCATACCAAAGAAAAAAACCCTTTTAAAAGGACGAATTTTGTTTTGCCGTTTGTTATGCTAAAAAATGCGTATAGATAGACAGTTGTATTCGTAAAGGTGTAAATTGCATCATATTTTGCCATTTTAACATGTAAAATGGCCAGTGTATATACCAACAGAACATAGTTCACAAACATTAATATGCCACTGCGTCTGAATCTATTACTTTTATTTCAAAAAGAATAATGATTGATCAAGCAAATTGCAAAGTTTATGTATTATCGTTTTCGTACCTTTTGTTAAGTATATTAACAAAACAACTTTATTAGCTATAATACTGCTTTTTTTAAATTGTGTGGTTTTCCTTTATAGTGTTTACTACATATAAGTATGCAACTTTGATTAATCTATTGTTTCACATTTGTACAGGGAAACAGTTAAAAGCTAAACAACAAAATAAGTAAACCACTATATTTTTATATAATGTCAAAAACTCGTTAGTAATTGCCGTATGTCATGTCATAATGTGTTCTGCTATTGGATATTAAGTTCTTAATTTAACTAAAACTTTCATAGACTCGGAACGATTTAGAGCTTGACACATTATATTGACGCCATACTGTTTTTGTATATAAAATTAGAACATGCAGTATTGCCAATAAGACAACAATCCGCTGGAGACCAAAATGGAGTTTAAATTGCTTGACTTTTTCTTTTTTAATGGATTTACAGGGGGCTATCTACATTTATCTTTATTTACTTGTATCTTTCATTAGATTGTATCTTTACACGAAAGTTATTTATTTCAGTGAAAATGAACTTTAGATTTGTCTGAAAGGTTAACGTTATGAGTAGAAAACAAAGTTTCTATAAAATGTTATTTATACATGTTATATCTGATTCGTTCAAATTACGGTTCAGAATTTAATATAAACTAGTGGACGCAAAGTCTTGGTTCGTTACTTAGGAAATCTGTACACATCAATTGAATAACTGTTAACATATATTTCAATTTATTTTTACTTCAGAAAATTAGTTTTATGGTGTGAAGCATAATTGGAGCATCAGTTTTTGTTCCCACTATGTGCGGTATTGCAGTCATTGCAGCATATTTAGTAAGTGTCTTTTGAGTAGAAATAATAAAGTTAATAACAAACGTGATCGCTTATTAGACAATGAATGAAAAAATGAATGAAGACTATGGTTTCAAACGACATTGTTTTTCATTTTGTGCTAATTTAATCGGTAGACTATTGTAGGTCAAACATCATCTATAACAGCAGAATGAGAAAATAGAAAAACTCCTTTGTAGATAATAATTTAAAGAAATAATGTCATATTCACGAGCTATCTTTATCGTAAACTCTTTTGTTTATTGCGTTTTTTTAACACCCGAATGTACAGCGCGTACTCCTCCATTAACAAATGAATACTTGACTGTATATTATATATCATACAGTACTAATGTAATATCTTTTAAATAAGACTCTTAAAACACGCAACAACCTGCTTAGACAATCATGTTAGAAGCTTTCTGGTGCAAATTCTAAAAGTTAACATTATTCATTAATGAGAAATGTTTTTGTGGTTTGATTTTAGCAGTGTTCTAATTCAAAGAATATGTTACAGGTTGATTTTTTGTGTGTGTTCTTGACTTGCTTTATATCATTTGAGTATACTTCTTATCATATTGAATTTTTTTTTTACTTTGTTTCATTAATCATGTTTATGGATCTCTAAATCATACATTGCAGCGAGACCGTCATGAACATAAAACAGTGGCTACCTCATCTTTGGTGGCTGCTCTATCTTTTGCAGAGTTTGTTGTGGCAATTATTGCAGCTTCTTTCTGCTGTTGCTGCTCTGCATGGGGAACATCAAACCAACAGGTAAGTACATTTATTTAGTACCTGCTTGCATATTTAAACATATTTCTCAATACAATACTATTGGAAAAACTTTCCAAAATATAGACATTTCATTTCGTTAATTCCCAGACTCATACACCAGCATAATTGTATTCTTTAAAATAAATGTATGTACACGTTGGGAAAACAGTGCGTTCAAAAATATAAGAGACAAAATCAACAGGTTATAAATTTGATGTGACCAAAACGCTTTTCTCGATTTACCTTCATCAGGAACGCTCAAAGACGACTAATTGAAAGCAAAGGATGTTTTAGAATCGAAACAGGTGAAATAATAATATATGACACACGCCGCTACCGAAAAGATTCTGACTAAAAACTGATACATGATTTGTGGCGGTGTGAAATTTGTTTATTGAGATCTCAATCCCCCTTTTTTTTTAAAGAATGTTGCAACAGAATATTAACAAAAAGTATATATGAGAAAATACAAGATACCAATAGTAGAGAAGGCACTCAGCTTTGAAAACAAATGTCTACATCACAAAAATGGCAAAATGAATAATTAATGATACGGTATTCAAAATTACTTAAAATGCCAATCGAATAGATATTAATAAAAATTAAATAATCGATTGTCCTTTTAAACAAATTAAGATAATTCTCTTATTAACGACTTCCACTTTTAAAGAAGTCTATTCAAATCATATAGTTGTCCGCTAGTAGTTCACTTGATGATAGTCCATTTTCTAAACTCTAGATAACGTCTGTAAAACTTCCGAAGAATTATACCAATTTTACCACTTTGATAGCTCGCTAAACCTCCCAATTGTATGACATTCGTTTATAGTTCCGCTATATTAAGTGCAAGATTGAGAATTCGGCTAATGTTCGTGGTAAAATATGCTTGTTACCTAATATAGAACTTATTTCAAAGACTACTTCCAATTTGAAGTGTTTCTCTGTAAAAAAAAATAACTCTACCTGTGTTAAATATGTTTGTTGTTGTCCAGACTGAACGAAAAAGAAGAGATGTGGTGAATTATTATACAAAATCTTTTATCACACTAAACAGAACAAAAAAACAAAAGAACAACACTCTTTTAGCTGCTTGTCATCTAAAATTCATAGTGTGATCTTCTTCACGAGCCAAAACCGCATATCATATGACAAGTTCATAACGACAATTACGCAAGTTTGAACGGAATTCTTTGTGTGATACATAAAATCTTACCAATGCTGTCATGACTTAAACGGCCGTCTTGTTAACTAATATACAAATAAATGAGACATATATCCACACTAAAATAGAGTACTGAAACACAGTAACAAATGAAACATTTTGGAGACAAAACATTGACAGAGAAAAGATATAGAAGAATATATATGAGCAGTGGTCGTTAGAAGAAAAACGCATATACAACAAAATAATTAGATGTAGACTCGCATGTCTGAGGTGCGTCAACCTTGAGAATGTGAGAAGACTACATCTGCTTTACATAGGAGTAATATATATTTTCTCATCTTATCTCTTGTTCTAAAAAGAGCAATTTGTTTTGATAAAACAGGAATCGTGTCATTATTTCAAATTTTTCAGATGCAGAAGAAGATGTTTCATAGTTATGCATTTGGAATAAAATGTTAAATGCGTCTATTTTTATGTCATCAAATTAATATTTTAACACTTGTCTGACAATATGAACCCCTGTTCTATCTTGTTTTTTTTTTTTTTTAATTGCCAAAACCTCAACGTTTTGTTGATAAATGATAACACTTCTATGTACGTGTAAATTATATAAGAGCCAAAATTTAACACATGGATAAAATATTAATGCTTTTTCAGTTCTATATAAGTTACATCCTTATAAATGTTGTAAACGACCTTCATCCACACAATACATATTTTAAATTATTATGGTTGGACAACGCAGGTATAAATGTGTAATTGATTCATGTAATATTACCCATCAAGGAAGCTATTTAAACAGATATTTGCCAATTTGCAATATAGTTTGTTTTTGTTCTATTACGAAAAGTTCAGCACAGTCAATAAAGGTTTGTGAAACATTATTTACAAAATTATTTTATATATATCTCATAAATGAACATTAATTTCAATATCTACAGTTATAACAAAAACTTCTCCTTTACACATGATGATTGTTATATGTCATTGCTCTATATTAAACAATCGCTTACTCGAATCATCCTATTATGATAACGTTTGTTATTTATGTACGTTACATTACTAAACAAAATCGCTTGTTTTATGTATTATTAAATTATATTTTCACTAAGAATCATTCAACGTTACTGATATGTATCCAAAATAGAACATAGGGGCAAAATGCAATTTTGATGTATATCTACCTTGATAACAAACAGATAACTGACTATGCGGTATGGGATTTGCTCATTGTTGAAGGCCTACGGTGACCTATAGTTGGTAATTTCTGTGTCATTTGGTCTCTTGTGGAGGGTCTCTCATTGGCAATTATACCACATTTTTTTTTTATAGATAATGACATATATCTCCTGACAAATTACAAATGAAAACAAAGGCTAATTCCAACCATGTTATGCAGATATTCCCAATATTGACTTTGGTTACCTCTGGTCACCTAGCACATATATCGACTTTGGTTACCTCTGGGCACTTTGAACAGATATTTACGTTGGTTACCTCTGGTCACCTAACACAGATATCGACTTTGATTACCTCTGGTCACCTTAAACAGATATTTACGTTGGTTTCCTCTGGTCACCTTATACATATTTACTCTGGTCACATCTGGTCACCTAATATAGGTATTGACTTTGCTTATAATATTAACTTGGTTTACTTCTTGTTACCTAATGCAGATGTTGACTTTGGTCACCTAACACAGATTTTGATTTTTTGTTAACTCTGGTTACCTTACACATGCATTTACTGTGCTGATTATCGGACACTTAACACAGATATTCACTTGGTTACCTTTGGTAAATTTACTTACACAGATATTGACTAAGTTACCTCTAGACATCTTGATTACACATATGTTGTCTTTTGTTATCTCAGGTTATCCCACACATATATTGACTTTGGTAACCTCTGTTCACTTTACATATGCAGATATTAACTTTAGTTGCACCTGGTCACTTTACATATATGTTAGATTTTATTACCTCTGATCACTTTACATAGATATTGACTTCAGTTAAGTCTATCCACCAGACCTCACCTCGACCGAAGTATAACATAAATACTGCTCATCTTACAGGTATTACCTTAGGTTACCCTGATCATCCTACATATATACTAACTTGTCATACGAACATCATTTTATGGAGACCAGGGGTAAACATAGTCAATACCTGTGCAAGATGATCAGAGATAACCAAGGTGACTATATGTGTTAGGTGACCAGAGGTATCCACAATGAATATATATGTAAGAGGACAGAGGTAACCAAAGTCAATATATGTGTTAGGTGACTAGAAGTAACCGTGTGTAATGTGACCAGTGCAGCATTGTATTGTGAACAGAGGTAAACATAGCCAATATATCTGAACGGTGAAAAGAGGAAAATAACGTTAATATATCTTTATAATGACTAAAGGTAATCAAAGTCAATATTGACGTAAAGTGACTAGAGCTTACTTACGTCAATATCTGTGTAAGTCGACTACAGGTGACCAAATAAATGTATTTGTTAGGAATCCAGAGGTAAACAAATTAAACATATGTGTTATGTGACAGGAACATCACTAAAAGGTGACCAGAGATAACCAAAGTCAATATAAGTGTAAACTGAAAAGAGGTAATCAGTGCAAATATATGTGCAAGGTGACAAGAGGTAACTAAAACGAATCTATCTGTAAGATGATAGAGGTAACCAAAGACAATATATGAGTTAGATGACCAGATGTAAACGAATTGACAATTGTGTAATGTGACCTGAGCATCATTGTTACTTGTCTAGAGTCAATATCTCTGCAGGATGACAAGAGGTAACCAACGTCAATATATCTTTTAGATGACCAGAGATAATCAAGGTCAATATTAATGTAAGGTGACTAGAGGGAATTTGATGCGACTGTCATACAAGTGAGAGGTTTAGCGCTATAAAACCAGGTTCAATCCACCATTTTCTACATAAGAACATGCCTGTACCAAGTCAGGAATATGACAGTTGTTGTCCGTTCGTTTGATATGTTTGTGCTTTTGATTTTGCCATTTAATTAGGGACTTTCCGTTTTGAATTTTCCTCGGAGTTCAGTATTTTTGTTATTTAACTTTTCACCATTGTCAATATCTGTGTAATGTGACAAGAGGTGACCAAAATCAACATATGTGTAAGGAAATAAGAGGTAAACAAAGTCAAGATATATGTGTATATAAGGTGACCAGAGAAAATCAAAGGTAATTCCTGTGTTATATGACCTTAGGTAAACAAATTAAATATCTGAGTAATGTGACCAGAACAGCATTGTATGGTGACCAGGGGTAAACATAGAAAGTATATGTTCAGGTTGACCAGAAGTAACTTAAGTTAACATTGGTAGGTGAGTAGAGGTAAAAAAAAGTGAATATATGTGTAAGATGACCAGAAGTAACCAACGTCAATATGTGTGGAAGGTGACCAAAGGTAATCAAATTTGAATACTTGTGTAATGTTGCCAGAGCATCATTATAAGAGACCAGAGGTAAACATAGTCAATATATTTACAAGTAAACTCAACTAAGATTAACACCTGTGTATGTAAAGTGACCAGAGGTTACCACAATCAATAATACTCAATAGATATAAGAAGATGTGGTATGAGTGCCAATGAGACAACTCTCCATCCAAGTCAAAATTTATAAAAGTAAACCATTATAGGTCACAGTACGGTCTTCAACACGGAGCCTTGGCTCACACCGAACAGTAAGCTATAAAGGGTCCCAAAAAATTACTAGTGTAAAACCATTCAAACGGGAAAACCAACGGTCTAATCTATATAAAAAACGAGAAACGAGAAACACTTATGAACCACATCAACAAACGACAACTACTGAACATCAGATTCCTGACTTAGGACAGGTGCAAACAAATGCAGCGGGTTTAAACGTTTTAATGGTACCAAACCTTCACCCTTTTTCTGAAACAATAGTGTAACATCACAACATAGAAAGACACACTATAAAATATCAACTATCTGTTTAAAGAGAACCAGAACATAATTGTAAGATAACTAAGGATAAACAAAGTCAATTATTGTGCAAAATGACCAAACGTAACAAAAGTCAATATATGTATTAGGTGGTCAGAGTTTTGCAAAGTGAATATCATTGTAATATGACCAGAGGTAAACATAGTCATTATATGTACAAGGTAACCAGAGGTAACAAAATTAAATATATTTGTAAGATAACCTGAACTTCAGTGTTAGGTGACGTGACCAGAGGTAACCAAGGCAATATCTGTGTCAACAGAGTCAACATCTGTGTCAAAAGAACAGAAGGCACAAAATTAAACAAATGTGTAAGGTGATCAGAGAAAATCGAAGTCTATCTGAGTTAGGTGACCATGATGAACTAACGTCAGTATATGTGTAAAGTGACTAAAGGTAACCAAAGTCAACATATGTATATGGTGACTAAAGGTATTCATGATCCATTTCGTTTCTTTATCATAATTATTTTCTTTTAACTTTTTGGCACTGTTATGACAATGGATATTAACATAGTTTAATCATGAACCTTAAAGAAAACTTATTTAGAATATGCAAGGAATAATAAGCTGTTTATCCTGTAAGAGCTTATCGTAACTTACTATACCTTGCAACCGGAAAAAATGCCCTTTTTTGCGTCTGGTGGAGACATATTTTTAACCGTTTCTATAAGAGGTACCCATGGCCCCTTTCAGCGTAACTATTATCCTTGTGCTTGTTTAAAATATTGTCGGTTCTTTTTCAAGTTACGAGTTTGATTATCTCTTTTCTTTCTTCCATCTCCCTTTATAACGTCAAAATCCTTTATCGTATACGTTAATTAATTTTATTTCGATGATTAGGGAACCATCCTCTTTCCACATTATAGATAACCATAAATAGCACAATTGGGTTATTTAAGAAATAAATCGTGTTCCTTAACAATTGTTTTTATTTATAGAGTAGCTGTAGAGATATTAATTAACATACAAATTTTTACAGTTAAGGGGTAGTGTTACCAATAATTATCAATAATAATCAAAAATCTGCAAAATCCACACTTGTGGTAAAATCACGCTAAGGCGCACGCTTTTCAATACTGAATTATAATTGAAGTGTAGTGTGGTATCGTTTGTGTGCTTGTAAATGACTGAAAACGTTCACCAATACGAGTAAAGATAAATAAGTTACTATTTGCTTTCAAAGATCCCACCGCTCTGGTTTCCTGATCAATAGTTTTACAGTTTATTTTACGCAAAACTTAGATACATGGTCTGTACTTGTATAGATTGGATTGTATTCAAAATATGATCAAATCGAATTGATAAAAATTGCACTCACATGACGAAAATGAAGAACAAAAAAATAATGGACCATAAACGTGGAATTGGTCGTAGTAAACAAACCTATATAAAATCATCAAACCTATTTTCCTGTGATTTTGATGACTAAAAGGATAAATAAAAAGTTCAAATTATGGTTATCATATCAACATACGTTTGCATTTGTACAAATTAGAGTTGAGAGTATTGATAAAAGGTACCTTTGTAACACTTAGCAGACAAACAAGTTAACTCGGATTATCATATGCAATAATGTCGGCAATATTTCAAATACAGACTACATATATTTAGAGATAGTGTAGCGGGACAGTACCAATTTCTATACTAAACTGTTTAATAATGGGTGTGTGGTGTTATGCAAATAACCTTGAAAATATGCTTATTTTCATAATTTTTTCTGAATGCATGACTTATGTCCAATATGTATTTATAGTTAGATATCAGTTACCTTCATATCATTAATAAATTAACTGATGTTCATAGTAATGATATTTTGTTAAGATTTAACAATTCGTTGATAATTTTTTACAAATTGTAAAGAAAACAAGCTTGCAAGTCGTTCCTTAGACAAAGTTTACCTTAGATGGATTTTGCTTCTTAGATACGTTTTAGTTATACAGCTCTTCAAGCGTTTAAATTGTTCATATATTTCCTTGACTGTCCAAAAACGGCTTTGAGCGTTCCTGGTGATGGTTAATCAAGTGAAGCGCTTCAGACGCATGCACTTTATAAAGTTTTGCTTTTATTTTCTTTCTATCAAAATTTATATCTTTATCACATTCAGATCTATACAAAGAATTTTTTGTTCAAACCTTCAGGAAACAATTAACTATCTTTCAACACTTCACTAAAAAGTTAGGTATAGCTTCTACCACAATGACCCTGTGGAATACTGTAACCCAACTAATTTTCGCGAGCGTTTTATTTTCGAGACTTTCGCGAGTAGAAAAATATCGCGTATATAAATTGTCGTGAATATGTAAAACTTGGATTTTTCCTTACTTAACTACATCAGGTAAATTTGAGAATCGCGATATGGGCTAGAAAGGGCTAAACGCGAAATAAATTATCCACGAAAATAAATTGGTTTACAGTATGTATAAACAGAAAACATAGCTGTACCTTGTTCTAGGCAATAACCTTTTATTTGCATTAAAAATTGACAAGAGTTTTTAATTGTTTACATCTGTATATTTTTGTCTGAACACATGTTTTTATTTTATTCCAGAATGTTAGCGGCTACTGGCAACAGTCCTGTATCAACTCATATGGTCGAACAAGAGTCTGGAACTCTGCCAGTTCAAACAGGAAAAATCAAACTGCAAGAATTCATTGTTTGGAAACATAAATTGTTTAGCGTCATACACATTGTTCTTGGTGTTGCTTTAGGAATTGTCAGTATAATTGGAATGAGTTGCGATATTATTGCCAAAGAAAAACATGAAGATTGCCTAAAAAATGGTCATACCTTGTATAGCACTAATCATTCGCTACTAGACTTTGACATACCATGTTTGATATGCTCTGTATTTGTAAGTATCTTACTATGGTTAGATGCAAATGTATACTAGTATACATAAAAAAGACCAGTAGCATAAATATATAATAGTGTGGTGATCCCACACATTGTTTAAAATCAAGGCATATACGTTTATGTCTATTATGTACATTGTAACATATAATATTTTGATAGAATCATCATAAGGAATATTTGGATTGAAAACACCATTAATATCATAGTCTTATTTTCTGATTTTATATCTTGTCCCTTGATATGATATAGGAAAAAAAATTACCAGAATAAGGCTTATTTCTTGTTAATGTGTTAATATATAACTTAGACAAAGTGCAATTTAAGAGCATTCTGGTCATCGTAATATCTTGTTCAATAAAGGCAAAAGTAGTATACAGTCATAGTTCGATTAATCAAAAACGAATCCGGGTAACAAACTTAACCCGAGGGAAACACATCAACTATAAGAGAAAAACAACTCAACAACAGCATCACTGAACTACAACAAAAAGCAAACGCAAACATACATAGACATGGACTATTGCTATATCCCTGAATTGGTACAGGACATTTAAGGAAAACAAATGGTTGATTGGACCTGATTTTCTGACTAGCCAAACCTCCAGCTGATATGGCAATGTTAAAAATACCGCTAAAATGTCAACACTATGGGACACGAATACAATACAAGTGAACACAAGAAGGCACAGAGAAATACATGACTTAATAATATAATAGAACATTACAACATGTAAACCGCAGAATAACAACGGACACCTCCAACGAATTAACGACACCACACCAGGACACCACAAATTAAATATCAGCAAAGAATATGAGACATTTTTTAAGACCTAATCTACCATATAACTTTACCTCTCAATAGACGAATTAAGCATATAGATTTGTTCTTTTTGAATCGTCTCTTTCTGTATAAGACATTGTGCTTATGGTTGTCAGTTTGGTTTTAGGGACGCACACATTTATATCAGGGCCTGAATCAAAAACGAAAGTATTTCCAAATTAATATTTATGTCAGCAAACATAGTAGGTGCAGTGGGTGAAATATCATGAACTTATTTTTTGCCACTTCCTTTGAAGATTTATTTTTAAGCGATTACCCTGCATTCCTGCCTTTCAATTAGGTCGGTCTATACCTTTTTTTGTCCTGATATTGCTTAAAGTCTTGTGTTTCCCCAAGCTTTACATTTTTATGCCTTGTATTGTCTTCTCAATCGATTTATGAGATTTGTACAAGGTTAAATTTTTGAGACAGTAATTTACCGATGTTCAAATCTCGTTAAACGACGAGAAAGAGTCACAGGTAGTCTCAGCCGTATTTGGCCCAACTTCTCAGAATTTCGCAGTTGTAAATAATCGTCAACTACACAATCGATTGGGCCTTCCGACTGTATAATTGTAGCGTTTCCTGTTGACAAATAGATAAATAAAAAAGAAACTAAGGAAGTAAAATTGAGATATTATTTTTTCCGTTCCTTTTGGACATAAAGCTTATTACGTTTTGACGTATTCTTAAATCAATAGCTTTTAAATGTTTACTTTTAAGGGTTCAAGGTGAAGTGTAATCAAAAGAAGGGCTTTGGAAGCATGAAATTCATGAAGAGTTATTTCCACGTCCGTTCTTTTTACTAGTAGTGGACAGTTGTACCCCGAAGGTATCATCAGAATAGAAATCGCTGATTGATAACTATATTCAACTTCCGAAGTAAGGTTGTCGGCTCTCCGGACTTTCACGAAGTCCTGCGTTTTGACGAGTTTAAGAGCCTCGGTCCTTTCTTGAAAGTTGAACTATAGTAACTGTTAAAGTTCCCGATTGACAAACTTAAAAAAAAACAAAAATTTCAAAAACTTCCTCATGCAAAGTTGAACTTAAGTAAATTGTTTTTTTCTTTCTTTTATGGCCCCTTCTGGTCATAGTGCTTCTACGGACGAATTTATATTTCCATGGCTTTCAAATTATTTCCATTAAGTGTTCCTGATGAAGGTGAATCCAGAAGAGTGCTTCAGACGCACGGAATTATATTGTGAAATTTTCACTCACTGATGAGACTTCTAAACTGAAACGCGGCTATGTTATACCAAGTCATAAGATTGGTATCTTTGATAAGTGTTTTGGAGTAAACTGACAAGTTTTTATTAATCTATTGCAAGAAATGTCGTTTTTTATTACCCCATAATGTTTAGATTTTTATATAACGAGCCGAATGCTAAGACATTCAAATGCAAATATTCTGAATTACTCATCGATGAATTCCTTCGTTAGTGATTTTTCTAAATTTTACTAAACACTGGTGAAAGGACACCGGCATGTGCAGCGATTTTGTAATACAGCTAACCCGTCTATACCTGAAAGGTTCTGACTGGCCGTTTTTTTTACATACTTTATCATAAGATGCTGTAAGGGCCCGCAAAATCCAAAATTCTCAAACAAATGATGTAGATCCGTGGAAACTCTACTGCTTTAACTTTGGTGTAAAACAACACACTATGAAACTAAACATTTGATAAAAAGATCAATTGTTTCTGGTGTAATGGTCTAAGACATAAATAACGTTAATTCTGGACGTCCCAAATAATTTCGAATATACTCTATTCTATTTTATGTGATTTCTGTCAAAATGATTATTTAGATTGTATTCGTAATCTGAAGCCTTCTACAAACGATAGTTTTAATCGTGCATTGATTTCGAAATTGATGACCAACGACCTTCTTGTGAAAACGTTAGCTTTATTTTCTGTAATAAACGTTTTAGATACCTTTCAGTTTTCTCATTGTAGTACATTATTACCGGTTTGCTGCCTTGCTGTATGACAGAAAAGAGAAAATCTAACTGGCGATGTCTGGTAAGCTAAAAAATAAACAAAAACGTTAATAATTTGTATTTGTTCAAATGCAAAAGTTAAAAAAAGTAAATTGTAGATTATATCTCATAATATTTTCAAATGTAGAGTTGTCAGGTTACCGATCGACAAAAAAGATTGTGTTACACAAGTTTAAGTCGATTATTTTTGAAAAATTACAGAATACTTTACCGTTCAAATTGTTTAATTTCATCTTATTCTATTTAATATTAGTTATGTTAATAAAACAACCGTTTAAGATTTTGAAAATTAAGTGTTTCTCCTAAAATGTTTTAAGAACACGGCAATTTTTTTTATGTGAAATCATAATCCCGTCAGTAATTGTAAGTAATATTTCAATGTTATGGGCTATTTGAAAATTAGGTTCTGAATTTAATTACAGCTTTAACGGACTTATAATGATGTAGACTCTGAAAAATATTATTGACACCTGACTTTAAAGATGTTTTATCATACCGAATAAGACAACTTTTTAATGGAGACCAACTGATGTATACGTAGATATAGATAACTACAGGTCACCATCAATAATGAACAAAACACATACAGTATAGTAAGCTATAAAAAGGCCGGATATTAAAGAAAAAAAAAATTCAAATCCAACTACCTGATATATTTTAAAAACTATAAACGAATACACACTAAGACGGGCATCAAACAAAGACAGCCACTCAGCTATGACTTCTTTATGACACATACAGACTATGGCGGGGTAAAACATCATAGCAAACACTCACGTGGAACAGCACACACTAGAAAAAACACAAACTTCAGTTAAAAGAGTCTTTGCTCACCGGTACACCAAGATAGCAAACTAACAGGAAGTACATGCATTTAGTTCATTCTAATTATACAATAATAGAAGCTTCTTTTCATACTTCCTAAGAAACCAGCAATGTTATGTAACTTTAATGACCGCTATTTAGATGATGTCTTCTCACTTAATAATTCAAAGTTGGATACGTTTGCTGAACGCATCTATCCCAACGAACAAAACTCTTTGACAAATGAGATGATTGTAGTTTCCCAAATGGTCACTATGACGCAATATTCCAGCAACGCCTGTGGAGTAGATATCAATCAGATGCGTTTCCAATCATGATAATATTAATACAAGGGTTGCTGCTCAGAAGGAAGATATTAAAAGTTCCAAGTGGTAACATTACAACCATACCCTTCAAAATTGTATGGACACAATCACGATATGTAATATCTGTTTTACAGATGGCGACGGATATGTTTATGTCGTCATAACCACAATCCCGACCTACCGAATTGGATTCATCACCTGGTGACAAATGTGGAACATAAGTCTGCTATCGTCGCTGGTTTTTGTTGGTATTTTTAGTTTTCTATGTTGTGGTTTGTATACTGGTGTTCGTCTTAGGTCGTTTACTATTTGTCATGAAGTTGCAGTTTATTTTCGACTTATTGAATTGAATGTTCTTTTGGTAAATTTTGACTCTCTTTTAATTCTTTCATTAGAAAAAAATAACAAATTGAGATCTAAAGAACGGTTAACAATTCGGTTTTGCTGACCTCTGGAAACCAGTAATTTCTTGATTTAATCTTTTTAGATATTAATGTCTAATGAATAGTCTTCTTTACTTTAAACTTTTAAACGAAAGGTTCGTAAATAGCTATCACTGAGAAGTCAAAATAGTATTCATTGTTAATGGAAGCGAACACAAGCCAGCCAAACTGTCACCGTATGGCAGGTATCACTGGATTTTCACTTTTTATTAACAACAATTGTTAAAACAAAAACTGATAGCATCCAGGTAACTTGAGTTTACCTTGTGCATTCATATAGCTATATATACGGAATGTATTTCATTGCATACTTGCTCATTTTAATTTGGCTGTAATGTTATCGACAGATATCAAATTACACCGTTCCCTTTTCACAAATGTGACCTACCGAATTAGACTATTTACCGGGTTTGTAATAACATGAGCAACACGATGGGTGCCACATGTGGAGCAGGATCTGCTTACCCTTCCGGAGCACCTAAGATCACCCCAAGTTTTTGATGGGGTTCGTGTTACGTAGTCTTTAGTTTTCTATGTTGTGTCTTCTGTACTAATATTTGTGTGTTTGTCTTTTACTTTTTGTGTCATGGCACTGTCAGTTTATTTTCGATCTATGAGTTTTACTGTCGCTCTGGTGTCTTTCGCCCCTCTTTTATAACCACTAGGTCGATGTCTCTGCTGGTGGACATTTTGTCCCCGAGGACATCATCCGCCCAGTAGCAATATTGCATGAATTTACGGATATCTAATGGGATACTGGCTCGGACGTCGCCCAGTATAAAAAGGTCCGAAACAGACATGGAAACGGTGTCCCCTCATTACCAGACATGACAAATATCCCGAATATGACTCATTCAGATCATCATACTAGTGACAATAGCAATAGTTTACATACACAGCCATGTTCAGTTCTCCTTAAAGACAGTTTGGATTTTGATGACTCTGAACAACATTTCAAAATGTGAGGCCAATGGCTGCAAAACTTGTGGAATTTTAATAACAGATACTCAATTCACTAGCAATTTAACTAAAAAGTCTTATTTTACCAGGAGTTACGATGATCTGAATTGTAAATCTACAAACTTTTTAATGTCGTCTACGGATTAGAGTGTAACCTTTACGGATTGGTATACGTCGGTGAAACGAAAGGAAGGCTAAACAAGCGTAAGTGCGGCGATAGATCAGACATCAACCTAAATGCAAGCGACATTCTTTACCAGCATTTTAATCAGCCTGATCATTCCATCGTTTTTTATGACAGTTCGCATTATCGAAAAGATATACCACAGGACCAACAATCCGCATCTTGCAACGCCTCTCCGTAGACAAAAAAGAGGACTACTGGATTCGACAATTGGGAACTGCGACACCATATGGTTGCAATGACAAAATTGATGTTATAGGTATTTTATCTAGTCCTTCCTGTAGCTCGGTGAATGTGATGAATATTTTCAACTTTACTCTCCGACGTAGACGCAGTCATGGTCATCGTCATTATACATCACCTACTCTGCATGATGTCTCTATAAATGACTTGATGCCATTTATACAAAAGCCGTTTGGTATTCATCACATTCGCACGAAACCATTCGGATATTGCAAGTCACAGATTTTTCAAACCAGTTCGCATTGGAAAAGTTGAAAAAGAGAAAAATATCTTTTCTTAAACTTTCCTTTGCCAATAAAGGTCTAGATGGCGTCAACATGGGCAATATCCTGCTTCATAAATTAGTACAATCGAAAATACCTCCTTATTTTAAAGATCAGTCTGTACCAATCATTTCTTATACCTATACCAAACCAATTACAACTAAAATGTTCAATTACAAACACGTTTTGCAGGATCTCAGTATTGACGACTTCAAGTCTAAACATCCTGATTGCACCTGTGCTAGTTCCCAATTCACATGTAATCCGGCTGGCCACGTTATTACCGGTGACCTCATCATTGTCAATAACACTTCCCTGCGAAATGTGTTATCCAAAGGTTCGAAATATCGTGAACCTAAATCCATCAATTGGAAATACAACTTCAAAATATTGATGGATTCAGTCGAGGATTATGACAGGCAATGGGCTAAACGCGATAAAGAAGACGTACTCTTTCCGAATGGATTAAGGCTGTGAGGTCGTTGATACAAATCAGAACTAAGAAACTGAATGGGTCTATCAATACCCATGCTACGTCAATCTTTAAAGACCAAAATGTTACAAAACACTTGTCCTACCTCGATGACAAATATGTTGTTGTCCCCTCAGATAAAGCCCCAAATAACATTTGTGTGTGTAAATCTCATTACATAAACTGCTTGATAAAAGAATTAGGTACTGACAATTCACTTGAAACTCAACATATACCCTCACGACACTTACCACAGAGGAAATCCTGGAAAATCATAGGTCTGTTCTAGGTTTCCTTGGAATTTCAACCAAAGATGAAGAACTGGATCTTCCATCACTATATTGGATACCTAAACTACATAAGTGTCCTTACAAACAACGGTATATTGCTGGGTCTTACAAGTGCTCCACGAAACATCTTTCTAAATTATTAAGATCCATTTCATCAGCAATCAAAGCCGGGCTTCAAAGTTATTGTGAAACTGCCTATTCTAGAGGTGGCGTGAATCAGATGTGGATACTAAAACATTCCTTATATCTTTTAGAGTACATACAATCTAAGATTCTTTCATCTTACAATAGTATTAAACCATTAGACTTTTCTACACTTTACACAAGTATTCCCCATTCCAAACTAAAAGACAAATTGAAAGAGTTGGTATTGCTATGTTTCATAAAAAAGAATGGCCAACGTAGATACAAGTATCTTGTCTTTGGGAGGGATAAATCTTACTTTGTAAAGAATCACTCTGATTCAAACAAAAAATTCTCTAAAACTGACATTATCAAGATGCTTTATTTCTTGATTGACAACATATTTGTTACGTTTGGCGGACGTGTTTTTCAACAAACTATCGGCATTCCCATGGGAACCAATTATGCCACTCTTCTAGCCGACTTGTTCGTTTATTATTATGAGGCTGACTTCATACAGGAACTTCTTAGGAAGAAAGATAAAAAGTTAGCAATATCCTTTAACTTTACTTTCCGCTATATAGATGATGTTCTCTCACTAAATAATTCAAAATTTGGTGACTATGTTGAACGCATCTATCCCATCGAACTAGAGATAAAGGATACAACAGATACAGTAAAGTCTGCCTCATATCTTGACTTGCATCTAGAAATTGACAATGAGGGTCGGTTGAAAACAAAACTTTACGACAAAAGAGATGATTTCAGCTTCCCAATTGTGAACTTTCCATTTCTATGTAGCAACATACCAGCAGCGACTGCATGCGGAGTATATATCTCCCAATTGATACGATATTCCCGGGCCTGTATTTCCTATCATGATTTTCTTGATAGAGTTGGTTGACCGTTATGGAATATCCGTTTCACAGATGATATCGGATATGTTCTTTATGTCGTAACTACAAACCCGTTCCCTTTTCACGAATGTGACCTACCGAATGAGACTATTTACCGGGTTTGTAATAAAATGAGTAACACGACGGGTGCCACATGTGGAGCAGGATCTGCTTACCCTTCCGGGCCAAATGAGATCACCCCAAGTTTTTGGTGGATTTCGTGTTGCTTAATCTTTAGTTTTCTATGTTGTGTCTTGTGTACTATTATTTGTGTGTTTGTCTTTTCCTTTTTGTGCCATGGCATTGTCAGTTTATTTTCGATCTTTGAGTTTGACTGTCTCTCTGGTAGCTTTTGCCCCTTTTTTACAAAATATCGTTAACAGTATTAATTTTATTGCACTAAATGCGCATATCGACCATGTCGACAATCCATATCTCTAAAGTGATGCTCAAAAAGCATAAACAAACATTGTTAGCTAAGAAAACTAAACTGAACCAAGGGTAAAACCAAATTCTTACAAGGAATCATAGTTATGCTGAGAGAAATACATGACTTAGTTATAAAGACTAAAAAAAATGAAAGATTTAGAAAAAGTTATTGATATCATTTGTGTTATAAACATAGAGATACCTTAAGCTTAAGTTTAACACATACAAAATGTCTGCATATTCTGGTTTATTGTTACCTGATACATTATATATAAACAATTTCTCTAATTCCATGGCAATTTAATCCTTTACGAACATATTATATAAACATAATTAATCAACGTGTGGTTGCTGGTGATCTCAGAAGATGATTGGATGAATTTGAGGGTCATAACCTTAATCAGCTCACTGGATGAATCAAAATATGATAACAGGCGTTAATGAAATTGACAACTTTGTGGAAAGTGGAAGGCACTCGAAGGGGATTTTCGTTTAGCAAAAAATCAAAATCTATTTTTTAATCATAAGAGAAACATATTGTTACATATTTACCCTTGGATTATCGGATTTATCCAATCTCGATAGTTAAATCACCAATTTTAACTATCTCCATTTGATAAATCCGATAATCCACTGTTAGAATGTTAGAATCTATATATATGTACATTGTCGGAAAATATGAAGTTTGTTTGTACGAGCTTAAGAAACAGGACGAAAAGAAAGGCAAACCGAGCTTTTCTCCTGTTTCGTAGCGAGTACAAATAAATATTGTATTTCCGACAATGTACATATATTGTTTTTATCCTGGAATTTACAACCGGTACTTTAACATAAATTGTTCAAATCCAAATTATTGCCCCTGATTTTTCAAAGAAACCGACATAGTTGAAACGCGGACCGCGAAGAGGACCCCAAAATGAACACTTACCCAGAAAGAAATAACCATACGTCATCACTTGCTCAACATGGAAGCGGTAACAGGAGATGTTATTTGTACAGGTACAAATAAAGCAAACATTTATTACTAAATATAGCATTAGCTAATTGCAGGATACATAGTTTATGTTCACTAATCTTTTGGTTACTCAGGTACATGGCTTTCAGTTGTGTAGCTTAATTGGATCATTAGTTCTTGCTCCCACTATGGCGTATCTAGGATATCTTGGTGCAATAAAGGTAAGTTATGATTCTTATTGATTAGAAATGATATATTCATAACGAACGTGTCTTAAATTATATATTTCTCTAACGTAAGTCTATTGTTCTTACTGTAGATCTTTGTTCTAAAAAAATGATTGTCAAGTTACATCGATATCATAACCAAACTTTTAAATATAAAACTTGAAGAATCTTTTACTTATTGTGTCTGTTTGTTTTGTTCACGCATCGTTGTCAATATAATGGAATTTTATGCGACTGTCTATAGTGAGAGGTTTAGCTAGCTATAAAACCAGGTAAAATCCACCATTTTCTACATAAGAAAATGCCTATACCAAGTCAGGAATATGACAGTTGCTATACATTCGTTTGATGTGTTTGAGCTTTTGATTTTGCCATTTGAATAGGGACTTTCCTTTTTGAATTTCCTTGGAGTTCAGTATTTTTGTGATTTTACATTTCACCTTGAAATACGAATTTAGAATTCGACTTTCGCGTTTATTCTCAATAAAGACTAGTTCGGTTTGTGTATTATAAAAGGCGAAAATCCTGCCGATATACAACTACTTATATTATGACTTAGAGCGTTTTATTGATAGTTGTTGTACATACATACACACACAGTTTGTTGTTGTGTCATGAGTCTTTTTATTAATTCATGTTCAGTATTTAGTATGCCTTGGTTTTTTTATCGGATTATTTTATTGTAACCAAGGTATCACCAATCTATGTAGATTTTATTTACTAAATGAATGGATATAGTATTCGCTATTCGACAATTCTTAATCTAAACAGAACATTATTATTACAATTTAACATTAAAAATAAACCAGCATAATCATAGCGTTTTTGAAAAATAGAACGATATACAATGTTCCGTCGGTTTCCTCTTATAGTTAATGAGTATTCCTCGTTGTTTTTTCTTCTTACATTGTTTTTACATGGCCTCCACCCGTTTCTTTTGAATTTAACAAGAACATCGATAAATTATTACCAAATGACCCTTTGTAGGATTTCACCACCCCCTTTACAAGTTAACTTCCTTTAATTTTGTTTTAAATGGCCCGCCTCGTTGCTTTAAAGATATCTTTTTTTTTTTGCACAATAGGTAGATCTCATCTTGATGTATTACGATATGAGGCTGCGAAGTATTTCATCATCCCCTTTGAGAGTTATATCCTCTTGAAGCAATTACTTTTATTTGCATTTTTTAAAATCATTACAGATAGAATAGATTTGAAAAGGGGAACATGTACAGGAACAGATGGGAATGTCAGTAAAAATAAACAATGTTTTTGTTATCAAGTCTTATATGAGTGATTTCCCTTAAATTATAACACAAATTTTGAAAAATGCTTATTTCGAGAACTTGAAGTCGTAGAGACATGGGACCTTCATTAATAATCTCTAGTTAATATGATCTTTAAATTGCAAACAAGGGCAAAGGTCACCAATCCAAAAAACAATTACGCTGCAATTTCACGCTTACATATTACAATGTAGGAAACAATAAGAGATTGCTCCATACATTTATTGTATAAAAGGTTACTCTCGGCGAGCTCTACATTTTATACATTAAGCTCAAAATTGTACGAAAATCAGTTTGAAAGTTACAACTAATTCGTAAAAGTGTAGTACTTGTGTTTATCTTTGAAAAGGTAAAATATATCTACTATCAATTGTCTCTAGGACTTACGGTTCTGAAGTTTGGTATGGCATCATATATTTGATTATTCATTGTGACTGTGATGAATTGTTAAATTGTTCCATATTTTTCTACAATGTTGTACTAAAATTGCCGATCATTTTTCACTTAGTTGATTTCAGTTATCTGGTATCGTTTTAGAGATAATACAGTTTAAAATTTTGTGAGCGGAGGCATGTTTGTCTGAATCAACAACAGCTTGTCGCCCGAAATATTTAGAAACTGAAGAGTTTAAAATGATTGACTTATTACCAAAAACATTCAGGAAAAACCAAAAATCAAAAAAACAAAAATCAATTTGAAATTTACGTTTAACATTGACTTTGTAAGTTTCATAAGTTCTATTTGTACAATTTATATTGTGTTATTTTTGGCTTTTTGCCAAATGGAGTTTTTTGGCTTACATTTGTATCAAATTGAACGTTTATATGAGGTTTTATTAAAATGAATGCGTTATAACAAAAGGTTGAACTCACTCTCCGAACAATATCAGAATCATATTTCTAACATTGAAAGATATATAGCTAACCTTTTTTAAAACGGTAGAATATTCGAATATATATTCGAATCGTGTAGATACAATAATGTTCAACAGATAAAAAATGAATGAAAAAACAATGGGATTAGCATTCGGTAGTCATCGTGATTTATTGACAAAACTAATATATTTGTCTTATTTATTTTCAACAAATTAGTTTTATTTGTAAATTTGAACAGAATTTGGAATAACTATTTACATTTCTATTAGAAAGTATTAACCAGCAAAATGTTACATAAGACATATTTCTTGAAGTCATTTTATACTTATAACTATGATAATTGAAGAACTTTTATTTCTGAAGGATCCGATCTGTAACATTGTTTTCGTGTAAATTGTAACGTTTTAAAGTTTTTGAAGTTGTTGGACACAGAAAAACAATCGTTGTTTTAAACGTTTTGCCTTCCTCACCAAATTGTAAATATACATTGAAATAGGTCAATTGACATATATTTCCAATAATCGTTAAACAGAGCAGCATAATTCGAATATGACTGGTGTATTAAAACTTCAATGCGTTTATCACACTCACATCACCGAACAAGGAAGACGTTTGTATACTTGTAATAGTAGTAAAATGTTGTCGTTACTTATAATTGTTAATATGCAGAAATATAAAATTCCATTTAGAATATCATCAAACTAGCTGGAATGCCTAGATTTCGAGTATTCGTTTGTTTTCTATTCAAAAAACGAACATTATGCAGACCAAATCAACATTTAGAAATACCAATGTTACACATTTCAAATTCAAATTATTTTTCCAGTCATCATGGATTGATTCATTCATTGGTTTTAAAGCCACTTGAAGCACTTTTGTGCTATTTCGTGGCCGTAAGGTTTTTTTTTGGATATTGAAAACTGTCGTGTCCATAGAGAACGAACCAACGACTTTCGATAGGAAAACTGACAATCCTGGTCAATTAAGTTATTGGTTGAGAGCACCTAGCACGTACGGGATTCGAACTCACAACCTGATTTTTGACAGGCTAGTAATACATTTCTTCAACTACTTAGACCGCTTGGCCACCAAGGTCATCATCGAAAATAGGATGACACTAAGCATCTACATGGTCTATTCAAATCATAAAGTTAAATATATTGATGATATTTTTGTTGTACTGAACTATTTTGAATCTTGAAAGCAATTGTGTTATATGTGCCGCATATGCTCCACTGTATGTGAGTCGGATATAACAAGCATAAATGCACAAGTACTACAGAAATGTCGAAAAAGACACTCGTATGTGCTTAATATTGAGCTTTTACATCCTTTTAATATTGTTTAACTTGTCTAAATAATTCATTAATGAATCGCAAGTTGCAGCTAATTTATCAAAAAGTACCACCTTATTTCATTAATGGGTACATTTATCATATATTGTAGCGAAGAAGTTATAACGAGAGCACTACGATTATCTCAGTTTGTATTGCTGGTCTATTCGTTGCTGAATGGATTCATGGAATTGCAATCATTGTCGGTTCAGTCTGTTCTTGCTTCTCGGAAATGGAATCATCAAATCAGCAGGTATTCAGATGAAATCATGTTTATGCCTTAAATTAATTCTGAAAATTTTTAATTATTGACATCATATTTCTAAAAAAGGACACACTTATTAGTCATCTTATCTTTTCCAAATACATACAACTATGATACACACTACAAACCAGTAAAAGTCTGAAATGGCCTATATATGTACTCGACTGTGATGAATTGGTCTGAAATTTAATTGATAATACTCGACTATAGTCTGAACTATACTTGACAGTCTAAACCTGTACTCGACCTTTACTCGACCAGTACTTAACAATTGTATACGCGTCTCAATCATGCTCGACCTAGTCTGAACCATGTTCGACCTAGTCTGAACCATACTCGACCTAGGCTGAACCATAATCGAACTAGTCTGAACCATACTTGACCAAGTCTCAACCAACCTAGACCTATTTTTTGTATCTATTTATTGTATTTCATCAATTTATGAACTGTTTTTAACAACAGCTATTTCCCCTGGCTAGAAATTTTAACAACAATTTGAAATTAAAAAATGTATTCTATATAGCATTGAAAGCAATTATTCACAATAAATATAATATAACTTCAACACCATCTTCATCAACACTTACATATATGTATCACCTTTATGATAGAAATAGAACAAGCTGATCAAATTAGTCTCAAAAGTAAATTGTGACTAATATTTTCAATGTTATTCATAAAATGTTAAATGTTTCAGATATATTTTATGGTTACTGGACAATTTTCACCATTAACTTAAGCCTAGTATAGATTTATGGTGTCAGTTGAGTTTAGTTAACAATGCGTGCACATTCTTTTTTTCAAAATATATATAAAATAGTATCTAAAGCAACTTAATAAATTCAAAAAATGAGACCTCTGTTTTGTAAAACCAAGAACTTATTAAAATAATTTATGATAATAGAACTTCCATAGCAATCCTTGATAATCTTTTAAAAAAAGGAAATGTGTTCCAAAGTTGCAGTAAAAATTTATTTCAATTAAATTTAAATAATTTTTGTCAACATTAAAGACATGGCATACAAAGCACTTCAATAAGGTTTAATTGACCTCAGTAAATGTGTGTTTTACAGGTAAAAAGAAAGCCCTATTTTTTTTTCACAAAACTCTTAAAATTTAAAATTGATATAATTAAATTATTATATAGGATAATTTGATTTAACTATCTCTATTTGATAAATATAAGAATCATATGAGGATGTAAAAATCTATTTATATATATATTTAGTCAAATGCGTTTTGTTAAAATATACTTTGTCACTTTTTTGGTCTTTTGGAAAATGTTGTTTGTGCTGTATTTAGACCCCTCGAACAAGAAATTTGTTTTGCATGCACACAGAAGGGATATAGTTACGATACTGTTGTCAGGTCATTAAAGATTGCATATTTTGGCGTTAATATTGTTTCACTTATATGGTCTTTGCATCGGCACTAAACACATTTATTTAAAAACCAGTTGTTGGCATGACACGGGTTATGTTCTTCTCATATATGTTATGATGGTATGATACTAAACCCCTAACGGGAAGGATTGTGCCTGATATTCATATGATGAAGACATAATCTTTCAATCAGTTTAATTGAAGTCTGGAGCTGGCATGTCAGTTAACTGCTAGTAGTCTGTTGTGATTTATGTATTATTGTCATTTTGTTTATTTTCTTTGGTTACATCTTCTGACATCAGACTCGGACTTCTCTTGAACTGAATTTTAATGTGCGTATTGTTATGCGTTTACTTTTCTACATTGGCTAGAGGTATAGGGGGAGGGTTGAGATCTCATAAACATGTTTAACCCCGGCGCATTTTTGCGCCAGTCCCAAGTCAGGATCCTCTAGCCTTTGTTAGTCTTGTATTATTTTTAATTTTAGTTTCTTGTGTACAATTTGGAGTTTAGTATGGCGTTCATTATCACTAAACTAGTATATATATTTGTTTAGGGGCCAGCTGACGGACGCCTCCGGGTGCGGGAATTTCTCGCTGCATTGAAGACCTGTTGGTGACCTTCTGCTGTTGTCTGTTCTATGGTCGGGTTGTTGTCTCTTTGACACATTCCCCATTTCCATTCTCAATTTTATTTTTTACAGAGTTTGTCTTTAGTGCCGTGTGGAGACCGTAGAGTGCCTCCCCGTGCTTCAAGTTTATGCTCTTATAATATACTAGATTATGGAGTGTGTGTCCGAGCGAGAACTTCTCTAGTTCATTACTTTAGGAATATTTATCAAAAAGTAGTATTTCAATATTCAGCCCCATTCTACTATTTAGTCAGACGTCAGTCGCTACCCTGATATACCCTTTCTTTTTCGGGTAATTAATACGGATAGCGTTTGACATCTTTAGCCGAACAGATTTATCATTTTTACATAATTTAATTCATTGTATGCTGGTTCATATTCTGGACGCCAGTCTTTGCTCCTTTCTAATATAATTCACAAACAAAAAACAAATATGAAGCTTAGAAATGGAAAAATATTAAATACTAAAATCGTTCAAAGGGTATCTACACGTCTCAATCTTCAAAATCGCTTATCTAAAAATACAACCATCGCTAACATTTTTAACAATAAAAATCGTGGTTACCCTTCTGTCGATAAGTGTCATGCCAAAAAATGACTTACATGTCCCCGTCTTTCCACCAACAATACGGCAAGGTCCACGTTTAATGGTCGCACATTTTCTTTAAATTTTGAAACTGATATAACTTGAAAAACAAACAGTATTATTTATTTACTCACATGAAACTAACCGGGATGCGGTATTCAGTACGTAGGTGAAACTGGACGATATTTATCTAAACGCTCTCAAGAACATCTGTATCGTTTTAAAAGACCCAATAAATTCAAAAGTATCATTTATCAACACCTTAAGAAGCACAATCATCCTATTAAATATTTAGCAGTTCAACCTTTAGAAGTAGTGAATAAGCAGCCTGGTGAATCTCATTCAAAGTTTGTACGATCAAGGAAAATAATTGAAGTAAATTGGATTAAAAAATTACAGACAGTCTACCCTCTCGGTCTTAATGATAATATCATGGGAATTGGTAATATATCAAGAACCGATTCTGTTAACATTTTGGATATAGTTTCTAAAACTGTTCGTAAAAATCGTTCTCATGGTCGTAGAAAAAATCGCAATCAAAGAAAATTTCGGACCAATCATACCAATATTTCGGACCTAATTTCTATTTCAAAAAAACAACGGCAGACATTATCTGTTAACAAAGCTCTGTTCATTACCGGTTAATAAGTTAAATAAAATTTTAGAGGATTGCAACACAATTTCATATAGCAGTCCTAAGTATGAAATCGTTCAAATTATAATGGCATATTGTTATTCTAAACTGTTTCCCAAAATTGATCGCCCTGAAGATCATAAAAAAACAGTTTATTAAAATAAAGTATGTCAATAAAGGTTTTGATTTTGTAAATATTGCCGGTATTTTTAACGACCATTCTGTTAAAGAACAAATCCCGGGATATTTTGATAATACTGAGCTCCCTCTTATTTGTTATATTTACAAGAAATCTACCCGGAAATTTGTGTTTAATTATAGCCAATTGTGTAAAGATGTTAATATCAGTGAAAATACACCTACTTCATGTAATTGCAGTAATTCCGAATACATTTATGGACCCATTTCCCATGTTATAACAGGAGATCTTAACATCGTTCAAGACCGAGAGTTAAAACCATTCCTCAGTAAAGGACCTAAATATCGTCCCCCGTCAATTATTAATTGGAATGAGTGTCGTAATATCATCCACGACTCACTCCATACTTACTGTTTGAAATGGATAAAACGGGAAAAAGCTGACAAAAAATCTTTGGACTCTTTTTTTAATTCAGTAATGAACATAGTTGATATACGTATTCAACATTTTAAAGAACAATTTACTCTTAACAATAACCACAATAAACCTATTTCTATTATCAAACATAAACTAAAAGAACTAGCCAAGGAATTTGTTTTTGTCCCGGCCGATAAAGCTGCTAATAATATTATTATTGTTTGACGTAAATTTTACATTGAGGTTCTGAAAAAAGAAATCACCAATTCACCAACATTCCAACTGACTCCATTTTCAGAAAACGACATCTGTAACAAACATAAACTTTTAGCTACCGCTTTACAAGCAGAACCAAATACAATGAAAGTCCCAACTATGTATTTGCTTCCGAAGCTACACAAAACACCTTACAAATATAGATTTATTTCGTCTTCAAGCCATTGTTCCACTACTAAATTGTCTATTCTTCTCACCAGTACACTTGGTACAATCAAAAACCTGATAATAAATTGTTCAAATAAGGCCTTCGAAAATAGTGGAATTAATTACTTTTGGAGTGTCAAGAACTCGTTGGAAGTACTTGATAAATTACATGCATATATTGGTGATTTTGAATCTGTTCAAAGTTTTGATTTTTCTACCCTATATACCACATTGCCTCACATTCTCATTAAGAAAAAATTCACACACCTAATTAAATGGGCATTTAAAAAGTCAGAATGTGAATATATATGTTCAAACTCTTTTAGGTCATTTTTTAGTAGCAATAAACAAAAAAACTATGTCAATTGGACATGCTTTGATACTATATATGCCCTTGCATTTTTACTAGATAACATTTTTGTTCGCTTTGGAGATTCCGTATATCGTCAGGTTATCGGAATTCCAATGGGGACTAACTGTGCACCACTTATTGCGGACCTTTTTTTGTATTGCTATGAGTTACAATTTATGACAAAAATCAGCAAACACCCATCGAAACAACATCTGATACACAAATTTAATAATACTTTTAGATATTTGGATGATATTTTGGCTCTCAATAATGACGACTTCAGTATGTATACTAAAGAAATTTATCCTGTTGAACTTACTTTAAATAAAGCTAATACTAACAATGACCACTGCCCTTTCCTCGATCTTGATATCTATATCATTAATGGAAAGCTTAATACTAAAATATATGATAAAAGAGATGA